GTTTTAAATGGGAACTGTCCCTTTATATTTTGAGGAGATCTGTGCGTATATGTAGTCGAACCCTTGGTGAGGGGTGGGTTGGGGTGGTGTCCATTCACTCAGGGGGAATGCAGGTACACAGACAGCCAGAGACCAATGAACAGATACAAAAAAAAGGATGTCCACACCTCTATCTCTGCAGTTCTGTCAAGCGTCCGTGGCTGCTCTGATCCTTCCCCAGCTCTGTCTTGCCAAAGATGGCTGCTCAGCTGAGCACCTTGGATAAGAAAGAACTGGGTTTCTTGTTTCTGGTACAAATTCCTCTGGCTGTAAGCCTTCCAACTTTCTAACTATTCCTTTATATGTGGTTCAGAGTTCTGGGAACATCCCCTGGAACTGCTTGGTCTGGTATTCTGTGTTGTTGCTGACAGAGCTCCTCACTACACTTCTACCCTATTTACCATCTTGTTTGTTCTCAATGATCAATACATCTTAATTGCGTATTTGATCAATTTCAGATTGAAGAAGTTGGTAGAATTCTATTTCATCCTAACTGGCTTTAGTGGTTGGTATGTAAATTTGAATAATAGTGGTATTAACTGGTCTTCCCTGTAGGCACATGGATATTATCCTATCACAGACAGCGTTGTACCTCATGACTGATCTGGATATTTTCTTTTTGACAATGAATGCAACACATTTCCTCTTCAATTTGTCATTCCTGGCATAATAAACCATGTGGTTGTCAGATTCAAAATGGCAATGCCAGTCCATTTCAGCTCATGCCTAATGCCTAAGAGATCAATTATGTGCTCCATTTCATTTTTGACAATTTCCAATTTTCCTAGATTCATACTTCGTACATTCCATGTTCTAATTATTAATGGATGTTTTACAGCTGTTTCTCTTCATTTTGAGTTGTGCCCCATCAGCAAATGAAGGTCCCAAGGGCTTTACTCCATTCATGTCATCACAGTCAACTCTACTTTGAGGAGGCAACTCTTCCCCAGTCGTATTTTGAGTTCCTTTCAACCTGAGGGGCTCATTTTCCAGAATTATATCTGACAGTGTTTTTCTGCTATTCATAAGGTTTTCAGTGACTAAACATTTGGAAGTAGTTCCTCACTCCTTTCTTAGTCTGTCTTCATCTGGAAGCTCATTTGAAACCTGTCCACTTGGGTGACCCTGCTGATACTTAAACTACTGGGGCATAGCTTTCAGAATCACAGCAACTCACAAGCCACCACAGTATGACAAACTGACAGAGGAGTGGTGGACATACAAGAGTATATAAGCTTAAATGCAAATTTTCACCTAGCTTCCTACCCCACCACCTTGTTGTTAAGTGCTGTCGGTTCTGACCCATAGTGATGCTGGCGAGCTTGAACCTCTGACCTTGCGGTTTAAACCGACTTTGCAGTCTAGTATATTAACCCATAGCACCACACCATGGTCCTAGCTCTGGCTTCTCTTGTTTCTTGCATTAACTGACCTCCCACTCCACTTAGTAAATCTGATGAAATCAATTCCCAACGTGGTTGCTTCAATGCACTCTATGGCTTGGAAAATCAGAGCAAATTCCCTTAGTTGCTTTTCAAAACTCCCCAAACCCACCCCAAGACACAAACTTGACACCTCATTCTAAACTAGTAGACCCTCCTAGAAGGGAGCGGGGGAGTAAAGGGATCACTCGTCCTCCAAAGCTAAGCCCAGTTGCCAATTCTTTGTCTCCTTCCTTGAATGTCAATGATATTCATGCCTTCATTCAACCTGATTTGTGAGTCCAGACCCAGTTTGGATGTTGAGATTACAATGCTGGGTGATGTGGTTGTGCCTTTCAGATCCCTTCTACTGGATCAGCCCAGGAGTGCTAGTCCTCATTGCTGTACTGCCCATGCTCCTCCTGCAGATGGCCGTGGGTCTCATCTTCCTCTGCCTGCAGCACAGACTCAGAGGTATGGGGCAGAGGGCAGGTAGATGTTGATCCTCCCAGAGCTCAGTCAGTTCATGTTCATTTTTGATTATTTGATTCAGAACTTCATGATGCCATAAAGGTTTACTTGGACCTGCAAGGGTGGGCTAATAGACATATAAAATAGCCCCATTTTACAGAGGAGGCAACTGAGGACCAGTGGCTTACTCAAGCGGATCACATCGCCTATACCATTTCTAGTAGCTTTATGCAAGGGGAAGTTTGCATCAGAGTTGGACAGGCGTAGACTATTAAGAGGTTCAGATCAAGATGTTGTAAGTAAATGCTATTTCCACAGTGTTGTTGTTAAGTGTCGTTGAGTCGATTCCAACCCATAGCTACCCTGTATAGGGTTTCCAGGAGCAGATGGTGAGCTTGAACCACCGACCTTGTGGTACAAACTGACTTTACAGTCCAGCATGTTAACCCTCAGTGCCACACCAGAACTCCACATAGTAGATGTTCAAATGTGTTTCCTCCTACTCTTTCAACACTGAGGACTTGGATTCAGTAGTTGATGAAGCTCAGTTTTGGCCCAGAGATTCCCATTCTGACTCCTGACTCTTATCCTCCACACCACCAAGTATTCTCCCCAACACCAAAGCATGCAGACCCTTCACACCTTCTCTTCCCCCAGTTGTTATTATTGTGTGCCCTAGAGTCAATTCTGACTCATAGTGATGATCCTGTATGGGTTTCCAAGGAGCAACTGGTGGATTTGAACCATTGTCATTGCAGTTAGAAGCCCAGTGCTTCTCCTATAGCGCCATACCAGGACACCTTTCCCCAGTTACCTGTGGATAAAAGCAGCAAGGTGGACATGTGAGTCAGGATATTAGTGGAATCAATACAAGGGGGCTCCAAAAATTTTGTGGAAAAATGTCATTATCTTTTGATTCCATTTTCCGTGAGCTTTTTAAAGCCCCCTCATATCCTTTCTCTCCCCTTGAATTCATACTAGATGTTCAGTAGTCTATTTCTCCTCCCACAAGAAAAAGGCCTTCCATCCACAGAGTGCAACGGAAGTCAGACAGCCTGGGCTTGGATTCCAGCTCAGACAGTCACCAACGATTAGAACACTGACCAAAATTCATAGGCTTGTCTGTCAAGTAGAGAAACTATTGCTCCTTCTAAAGTTAGGAATTGATGCTTTTGAATAGTGGTGTTGGTGAAGAATACTGAATACATGTAGACTGTCAGAAAAGTGAACAAATCAGTCTTAGACGAAATACAACCAGAATGCTCTTTAGAAGTGAATGGTGAGACTTTGCCTTACTTTGGATCATCATTAGGAAAAGCCAGTCTCTAAAAAAGAACTTCATGTTTGGTAAGGTAGAGTCAGAATCCAGGTGTGACTGTGTAGGATAAGAACTGGACTGCTAACCACAAGGATGGCATTTCAAACCCACCAGTAGTCCTAGGAAACCCTATACAGGGTCACTGAGTCAAAACCAACTCCACAGCACTTAATAGCAACAGCAGAAACAAAGGAAACCAACCCTCTGGATGGACCAACAAGACTCAAATATACCAATAATCATAAGGATGGTTCAGGAGCAGCCAACATTTCTTTCTGTTGTACATAAGGGCACTGTGAGTTGGAGCTACCTCAGGACAACTAACAGAAACAATAACAACAGCAAAGTGTGGTAAGGATTAAAGGGGAGAACATATTTATAAAGTACCCAGTACGGAGCTGGAGTCCTGGTGTGGCGCTGTGGGTTAATGCCCCAGACAGCAAAGCCATTTGAACTGCAAGGTCGGCGGTTCAAACTCACCAGCTGCTCCTCAGAAACCCTATACAGGGTCGCTATGGGTCGGAACCGACTAGATGACACTTCACAACAACAACAACAAGGAGCTACTTTTCACTGAATGCATTGCATTCTTCATTCCTTCTTTATTCAAGTGGGAAAATGGCTTTAGATTTACATAATAACAACCCAGCAGGGTGGAATAGCTATGTGAATTGAGTATCCCTCAAGAAAAAGGTATCAAAGAGATTGTCTCATGATTTCCGCATTCCGTTGGGTCACCTCTCTTTGGAATGGGCACAAAAGTTGAGGAGTAAGGTGTGCCTGTCCCAAGTCATGGTATTTTCAATAACCTCATATGCATGCAAAAGCTGGACAGTGAATAAGAAAGACCATGGAAGAATTGATGCTTTTTGAGTTATGATGTTGGAGGAGAATATTGAAAGTTCCATGGGCTGCCAAAAGAACCAGTAGATCCGTTCTGGAAGAAGTACGGCCAGAGTGCTCCTTGGAGGCCAAGATGGCCAAACTTCGTTTCTCATACTTTGGACATATTGTCAGGGGGGACCAGTCACTGGAAAAGGATATCCTGTTTGGTAAGGTGGAGGGTCAGAAAAAAGGACGAAGACCTCCAACAAGATGGATTAGCCAAGTGGCAGCATTGATCGACTCAAGTGAGGTTGGCCCAGGATCGGGCAGTGTTTCGTTCTGCCATGCATAAGGTCACGATGAGTCAGGACCGACTCATAGCACCTAACAAGAAGAAAAAGGGCAAAGCGCAGTTGGGAGAGATGATAAAGTGGTATGTTGATTTAGGGCAATGTACCAAACCTCTCTGCATTCTTTATCCTTTATTTCATACACAAGCCAAGGGCAGAGCCTGAAGTACCTACTTGCCTCTTGACTTCAAATCCAGTGCCAATTCCACTGCCCTACGGTTAATGTGCTGGACTGCAATGTTGGCTAGTAAAGCTCACCAGTCGCCCCTCAGTACAGGGTCACTATGGGTGGGAACAAAGGCACTTAATAACAATGATAGGGTTGCTTCCAGGCTACAGAGAAATAGGCCTGTGACTAGGTGTGGGAGGGAGTCCACCTGCTGCCAGAACAGGAACTAAAAATGTTGCTTTTTTCTATTTTAGGAAAACTTCGAGCAGAGATAGGTGAGTTCCAGGCACCTCCATCCTTCCCTCCTGCCCCTCTGGCCTAACTGAAAAGGTCATTTTCTCTGACCATCTGCCCCTCTCTCCTTGTGCCCAATGCTCCCTGCAGGTGGTAAATTCACACTATGTAAAACTTCTGTGACCTGAGCTGGTTTGTAGTCTGAGTCCTCTCCCCTGCATTCAGTTGGGGGAGAAGTGAAATGCAATAGTTCCCTTCCCCCCATTGAGTGTCACTACTAGAAAAAAATTTAAGAGATTCAATAACAAAGACTCAGAGGGAGAAAAAGACACCCGCTGCTCTGGGTAGACTTTGGGTAGCCTACTAAATCTGCATTTCCATTGGTTTCTTTCAGAAAATCTCCACCGGACTTTTGGTAAGCGCTGGATGGCGCCTCCTGACTAGTCAGTTCAACTTGGCATTTCACTTGGGCTGGGGTGGCACTCAACTAGTAACCAAAAGGTTGGAGGTACCTGGGAAGACAGGTTTGGTGATCTGTTTATGAAAGGTTGTTGTCAAGTCAGTTCCAACTCAAAGGGACCCTGTAAAGCATTTCCAAGTGCTTATCTTACAGAGCCACACCAGGACTTGCAGGTCTACTCTGCCACATGGAGTCATCAAAACATCAACTAGTCACCTGAGGGGACAAGGACACCTGCTCCAGGCTGATCCCTTTCCTCCTCTTTTATCTTTTTCTTTGTAAATCATCATTTGCATCAAAGATTGGTAAAATAATTGAAAATACCTATATTATATAGCGCTTTTATATGCCAGGTACTAGTCTAACAACTTTACATATATTAACTCATTTTGTAGGAATTACAAGCACTTTGTGCACACTTTTTTCAGTAATTACAAAGTGTGTAAAATATAAAAATCCTTTACCCTTGAACTTGGTGTCTGGATGGGGAAGGGATACACATACATGAGTGAATATACTCACATATATCATTGGAAGAAGTGCAGCCAGAGTGCTCCTTGGAGGCCAAGATGGCCAAATTTCATCTCTCATACTTCAGA